TTGGCAACGAACAAAAATAGAATGTGAGTCTAGACGAATCACATCAGAGGAAAGCTCTGATTCTTCTAGCCATTCATTACTTATAATGGACACTAACTCTTTTGTAGTCTTTTTAAGGAAAGCTTCCTCATAAGGGTCTACAATTTCTTCAATGGATGATGATTTCTTAGGCTTCTGAGGCCTCCTCATAGTATGATAATTTGAGATATTTTCATATTCGGCAAAAAGTTCATCCTCGAATTCAAGCATAAAATATGAAATTGGAGTTTCCTCCTTTTCCGGTGGTTCAAGATTTGGGATAGCTGGAGTTGATGATGGGTTGGATAAAGATTCTGGTTCAGCTATCTGGATTCCTTCTCTAGTGGCTTCTCTTCTACTTCCTCAGGGGTGCTCTCTAAGACTTTAGTAAGAATGCTTCTCCCCGAATTGGCGGAGACATGCAAGAACGATCCTCCTGAAGCTGTATCAAGATACTTCAAAGTTTCCCTATCAAGACCCATATAAAAGTGCCGAAGAAGAATGGGATCTTGAATGGCAAGGTCAGGGCTAGTATTAATGAGAGCATTAAAGCGTTCCCATGACATACCTAGAGATTCTTTTTCTTTTTGTTCAAAAGTTAGAACATCTGAATGAAGGCTGACTACTTTAGAGATGGGAAAGAAATGCAAGCAAAAGCTAGAATACAAAGCTTCCCAATCTCCTTGTCTACTCCCTATGGTTTGCTTGTACCAACGTTTAGCTCTTCCCTTCAAAGAGAAAGGAAAAAAACTTCTATCGTAAGGTTTCATCGGACATGCCTGCAATGCGTAGGCATGCACAGGTTTGCTCAAACTTATTTAGGTGAGAGTGTATTTTCATCATCTTCGTCCGAAAAAGATTGATCCCGGACCATGTTAATTAAACATGGGTGCAACTCATAGCCAGGTGTTAGAATAGGCTTTGAAGATTCTGGTGACTCTAGGCATGCGCTCGTAGGTGCGGCATATTGATGGATAGGAGTGGATTCTAAATCCATGGTGAAAAGGAAAGAAAAATAAAAGATAAAAGATAAAAGAATAATGATATAAGGTTAAGCTAGGTTTGAAGTTAACTCAGCAACCGTTTCCCCGACAACGGCGCCAGAAATGCTTGTTGGTATATATTAACACACACAGAATAATCCACAAGCGCACGGATATCGATGTAGCACTTCACCGGAAAGTATTCTAGAATATCGAACTCAAGGAAATGTGTGTGAGAATAACTAAGTCTAACTTAACCCCGAGTAGCAACAAGACTTAAGATAACAGGAGCGTAGGGGAGATCACTAAGGTCTTCTAGTTCTAACTTCGATAAGCTATGTCTTCTATTGTTCAATTATGAGGATATTACTAAGGAAAACACAGGCAAAGTATGTTTCCTACAGTAACAAGGTCCTGCTGAGCCTACAAACGGGAGGTGGACTACAAAGGATTAAATAAGGCTATAAGAGTCACCCTCGCGAGCTACCACCGATCCGGAATATAGGGTACATCCACGAGTAACCGAGTCTAAGCACCACGCTTACACTACGAATACTACTTTAACTCAGGAGCTATAAGGATTAAAGTACTCAAAAGAGTTGCAAACCTGAAGAACAATATAAACAAGATGCTTATTTGAATTAGAAGTTGATTACCAGAGAAATCTCAGAAGCAAGCTCAAGAAGAACTTGATTCCGCCAGGGTACAAGCCGTAGAGAGAGCATCGACAAGCCGGAGCTCCTTATGCAAGATATATTGACGGTTTATGATTGGTGTTAACTACCGTCAACAGTTGGCCATCACCATTTTTGCTCGTGACCTAACCCTAACTGGCCGCCGGTGTGAGTCTGCCTTCCTACTATGGGCAACCAACCACTGTGAGAGAGACTTCGCTGCATGTGGTGCGGGCAGCCATTTGCGCTCAAGATTTTATCTGGCCAGGCTGGAAGTTTAGTATAGTGTACAGTTGGGCCGAATGGGCTAAAGGATGGATCTGTTCTTCCATGTTCTAGTAGAATTTTTGTGTCCTTTCATGAAAAAAAAGATAGAGAACTTTTGCAAGGATTTCAACAGTAGAGAGAAGAGAAGATGGCCTGCGAATTCAGCCCATTTAGGAGCCATCATGATCTCGTCCGTCCAATCATGATCGGCAGCATTCCTTTGATTTCGTCCAAACAAAGCGCTGGCTGAGAAACCTTGTTCACCATTTGCGCTCGCGACCTAACCCTAACTGGCCGCTGGTGTGAGTCTCTCTTCCTACTGCGGGCAGCCGACCACTGTGAGAGAGACTTCGCACTGCACGTGCTGCGGACTTCCATTTGCGCTCTGATTTGATCTAGGCCGGGCTGGAAGTTTAGTATAATCTACAGTTGGGCTGAATGGGCTAAAGGATGGGTTTGTTCTTCCTAGTTCCAGTAGAATTTTTGTGTCCTCTCACGAAAAAATAGAATTTTTGCAAGGATTTCAACAGTAGAGGTAGAGAAGATAGCCTGCAAATTCCTTACGCCTGCAGCCCATTTAGGAGCTATGATGATCTCGTCCGTCCAATCGCCATCGACAGCATTCCTTTGATTTCGTCCGAACAAAAGCGCCGGCCAGGAAACCTTTCCCTCTCCTCCCTCGCCTTTCTCGCGAAGCAGCAGCCAGGGCGGGCGATGAAGAGAAGACGGTGGTGTCCCCGCGCCCGCGCGAGTGAGGGCGGCGGCGGCGGACAGAGTGACGCTGGAGATTAGCCGACGCAACAAGTTCTTTGCCGGAGCGCGCGTGCGGCCAAGACCGCGCGTGGCTCCGTCGAGGATCTCGTGGGTGGCGCACGAGAAGGTGGGCGGCTCGTCGGTGAGCCATTCTTCTCCGCCGCCGCGTGCAGCGACGAGTGCCTCGCCTTCGGGAGGTGCCGCGCAGATGGTGGCCGCCGGGATGACGAACTAGTACGTCGACCTTTCCTTCGGATTATAGCGCTTCTATATAGAAATAAAAATTGGGGATTTTGCCTGCATAGGTTTTCAGATTTTGGGGAATTTGGACTTTTGCAATTCGACCAAGTATTAATGACTAGTATAATTGATCTGAATTTCCATCGTCACTAGAAAACCAGGCGCGGCTTTGCCGCGCCCTTCTTGAGCGCCCATTATGGTTTTGGCAAGTATAACCAGCAGCCATCAACATGGTCAGAAGTTGTAAAGCCATATTTGGTGAGGTATATGTAAAAACTCGAGCGTAGAAGTTGTGTTTGGAGAGGTCGTGGTGGCTCCTGTTTATGACAATCTGAATTTTGTTGACCTAGAGCCCTGATTAATCTTAGCATGTTGAGAGTGAACATGAGCTGCCTGCAGTAAACTAAAGGATTTGAGGATGCTTATTGTGAGATTTCCACATTTGTAAATCTAGAGCAGAATGCGATGATTATAACTGTAGATGGGAGACACAGACATTCAGAGTTTAACATCAATTTACATAGGCAGACACACACACAACTGCAAAGCCATTGATTTCAGCAAGTTTGACCTCTAAGAGCAATAATTGATAAGGTACAATATACTACTCCTCTCCTCCTAATATATGATTTTGTCGAAAATAGCAGGTAATATCTAGGGTTAGCATTGGTTCTAAACTTGTTGAACTGAATGACGTTGAACTGAAATTTGTTGACTTAAACACTGAGTCAAGACTATTTGGATGAGGCTTCGTCATGCGTGCTGCTATCGTATAGTAGTACCCACAACCCTGATGCTTCGCTATTAACCAGAAGGGAAATCACATGTTTTACTTCTATCTGAAATATCTAATATATATAAGATATGTTCTACGGTGCTTGAGAGGTACAATAGTATAACTGCAATGAGTGTGCTTATGAAAATAATCTTCAAAGAATGCAATGTATTTACTATGAAATTTGATTTCACATTCTTTAGCAATTAATGGAAGGTTTTTATATTGGGTAAATTTTTTTGCGAGACCCCGTTACAGACGCAGATGCTCAAATACACGTGAGCGCACACTCATCCCTCTAAACGCACACATGCACACCCTACCCCTATGAACACCCCCGAAGAACTGAGTTGGACTATCTAGGTATAAGAAGAACCAGCAAATTGTAAATTGATCAGGCCAATATATTAAAGTATATTCTCTTTTCAGTTATTATATTTTAGTGCTGAAAAATCATTATGGGATTCTTCTTTATGAAGGTAGTACCTACATTTTCTTTCAAATGCAAACAAGGGATTTGATTCAACTTAAACGGCATTTTACCTTCATGTAGGCATAATATCATGATGTGGCTTAATGTTGGCATCTTAATGTTGAATATCAAAATATCTGCTTGCGAAAGGTGAATAATTATTTTTGTCCCTTTCTTAATGTACATTTGACCATGTTATAAGCCTTTATATATGTTATAATTCCTTGACACTTTGCAGAAATTTCAAAAGACTAAAAAAACTTCAGCCCACATCAAAACTGAAACCTTGCATTTTGAAAGTTTTTGGTTCATTACCAGCCGGGTCTTATGATTGCACTGATGTGATGAAGGGTGCGGATATAAGTCTATTGGAAATATTGCACAGAGTACTCGGTGGCGGCGGCGGCGGCGTGATGGAGGCACGGAGCGAGAGACCACGATCACGGGTCAGGTGGGGGGCAGCGGGGCGTACCACTCGTTGGCGCGGCGCGCGTAGAGGTAGGCGGCGAGCGCGACGTCGGCGGCGGCCACGGCGACGAGCGTCGCCGAGAGCACCGCCACGCGCACCTTTCCCCAGAAGCCGGCGCGGCGCATCCGCAGGCGCCGGGCAGCGGCGGTGGCAGCGGGAGACAGCTCCAAGGCCGCGGCCAGAAGGCGCTTCGACCGCGGGCTGAGCCCGCCGGCGCCGCGCAGCTCGACCAGCGCGTGGCTGATCTCCTCCGGGAGCGCCGCGGCAGCCTCGGTGGCGGTGTCCGAGTCCGTGAGCGCGGGCACCTGTGCATCATTAGCAAGCAGCAGAACAGGATCTGTCAAACGGGATGAGGAAGCTAGCTTGTTCTGGAAAGCTCTTTACGTATCCTGGTATAAGCTGTGGTAAGAGCCGTTCGATAGATATCCAATGGCTGGGAAGGGCAGGGCAAGAGGAAGCGCCAGGAAGAAGGCAAGGAGAAGGAAAGCAAGAAGCGCTTGCGCGTGAGCGTGTGCGGCAGCTCCAAGGAGATCGAGTGGGAGAAGTACGCGCTCAACTTCCAAGAGCACGGTGTCAATGGCAGCACAGGCTGGGTCATGCACGAGTACTCCATCACTTCCCCACCCGAGTTCGCCCAGTCGCCGATGAGGGTGTACTGCATCCGCCACAGCGGCCACGGCAAGAACGCCAAGAAGCACAGCATGGATGCACAAGATTGGGGCAGCGACGACGAGGACGAGGAGGAAGTGGACGACGCTTCCGTGGAGGAAGATCCTGCCCTGTTCATCGGTGAGTACCCACTGGCACCGCGGGCCGAGTACGTCATTTCTCTTCCTGTGGCGGCAGATGTTGTCAATGCCAATCCTTCTGATGGGGCGGGCGCAGGAGCAGGCAATGATCAAGACTTGCCCACGCTGGTGGAGGACGATGACTGTTTCGCTTTCATGAACCCTTTATCTGATTTGGTGCCTGGTTTTGACTTGTCGCAGTGGGACGATGGTGCCGGATGCATGATCAAACACGCCATGCATAAATTCATTTAACTCCTTAATTTGTTGTAGCTTGAGATAGCTAATTGCAGTATCTGTTGCTTTTGTGTGTTGGAGGATTCTCCGATTCTTAGGTGCTGCCTTTATTTTTGTGAAACTGAGTTTGTACTGCCTTATTAGCACTAGTTAGTTTAACCTTCTTGACTTGTCTTAAAGATACGTGATGAGAACTTATTTGTGATTATTGGTGGATGTGGACGATTCAAAATCTGTTTCTGTCTTTGATATCCTTTTTTTACTATTTTCAGTTCTACTTAAATATGATCACTACCGGAGGCGGCTTCTTTGCCGATATACACTCGGCAAAGGGTGCTCGATAAACAATTTATCGGCAAAGACCTTTTTGCCGAGTGCACTTTATCAGGCACTCGGCAAAGACTTTGCCGAGTGCCAATACAACACTCGGCAAAAAAAGTGGCCGTTGAAAGCATCTAGACCCCTAATTGGGTTTCGGTGATTAATGATAATATAAGATTACTATAACTAACGTATGTTTTGCAGAAGCAATTAAGTTAGGTCATGGTAATGGAGATCGATTGGGCAATCATGGTTGTCATGCCCCTACGATGGAAATCGTTTCGGTTTTCAAAGGATGGACGACAAGGTTAAGGATGGACTAGTTCTAAGTGTCGATTGGAGTTAGAGAGACACTTAGAGTAGTTTAGGACTTTATTTTCCCTTTGGCCGTACTATTAAGGGGGTATGGACGGGTAGCTTGACCTAGGTGAGTCTAGTGAGTTAGGTGTGGTGCACACTTATTAAAACTAGCGCTAAGTAGCTCCTAAATATGCCTAAGATCCAATGGAGCAAACTTCATTCACATATGATCGAGAGTTGGAAGTAAATGGAGGGTTAAATACTGATCGGACGCTGGCTTCGGTGCGACCGGACGCTGGCGCAGAGTCCGGTTAGTCCATTTGACCGAGGAGATTGCGTTCGGTGCGACCGGACGCTGGAAGGTCAAGTGACCGGACGCTGAGAGCCAGCGTCCGGTCGTTTATAGTAACGTTCCATAGAGGAAAAATCACAACCGGACGCGTCCGGTCACACTGTAAACACTGGAACTCGGGGAGAACTGACCGGAGCATTCGGTCACCCCGCAGAGGCACATAACGGTTCGTTTTTCAGTCCATGTTATAAATAGAAGCTCCACTCGTGTCTGGGGTTACTTTTGCTCATTCCAACAACTAAAACACACCTTAGAGAGTGCCAAGAAGAGCAAAGTCCTAGTGAGGTGATTGAGATTTGAGAATCCCAAAGAGAGCCCTCATTAGTAAGATCAAGAGTAGCAAAGTGTGCATCAATCTTTCTCCCTAGGCTTGTCATGGTCAAGTGAGAGTTCGTGCTTGTTACTCTTGGTGATCGCCATCACCTAGACGGCTTGGTGGTGATTTGGAGCTTGGTGGTCATCCGGAGAGCTTGTGGATGACCCAACTCATATTGTGAGCGGTTGTGGGTGATTCATCACGACGGAGTGTTGAAGAATCAACCCGTAGAGAGCACTTGATCCTTGCGCGGATCAAGGGGAGCAACACCCTTGCGCGGGTGCTTCAACGAGGACTAGTGGGGAGTGGCGACTCTCCGATACCTCGGTAAAACATTGCCGCGTTCTTCCTCCCTCTCTATTTACTTTGAGCAATTCAATTCTTGTTCATACATTCATAGAATTACCATGCTAGAGTAGAAGTGGAACTTAGGTTGCAAGTCTTTTGTGCGGTAGAATAACTAGGAACACTTTCTAGGCACAAGGGGTTAATTGGGCTAACAATATGACTTAATTATTGCAAAAAAAATTTAATTAGCCCAATTCACCCCCCCTCTTGGGCATCTTGATCCTTTCAATTGGTATCAGAGCCTCGTGCTCACGTATTTAGGCTTAACCGCCTAGAGAAAGATGTCTCACGGGGATGGACCTCCTCCTATCTTTGAGGGGGATGATTTTCCTTATTAGAAAATTCGTATGGAGGCGTACTTAGAAGCTCTAGATGTTGAAATACTTAGAGCCGCCTCGCAAGGCTTCCCAAAACCTAAGGATCCCACACACCCACAAGGCGATGAGGTGAATTATGAAAAATGGAATGCAAAGGCTAGCAACACCATCTTTAGAGGCCTTTGCAAAGATGTGTTCAATCGGGTGAGGAACCACAAAGACGCCCATGCACTATGGTCGGACGTTTGTGCGCTCCATGAGGGAACAAAGAGTGAGCGTGAGGAACGCTATCATCTTGTCATGAAAAAACTCAACTCTTTTGAAATGCTTTCTAAAGAATGTGCTAATGAGATGTATTCACGTTTGAATGTTCTTGTAGTGCAAGTTAATGGGCTTGGACTTACTCAAATGCAACCATCCGATATTGTAAGAAAGATCTTGAGTGTTCTCCCCATTGACAAATATGGGCATATTGTGACCGTGCTCCATCAAGATGATCTTTCCACCGCTACACCGACACAAATATTGGGAAAGATCAATCCTCATGAGATGTACATGCACATCACACCTCAAGATGGCTGATCCTCTACAAAGAAGAAAAAAAAGACTTAGCATTCAAAGTTAGCCAAGAGAAGGGCAAAGCAAGGCTTGAGTATGAGAGCTCAAGTGATGATGAAGTTGATGATGAAAGCCTTGCTCTCATGGTGAAGAAAACCGCCAAGATGCTAAAGAAGCTCAACAAGAGTGGCATCAAGTTTGATGGCAAGAAGAAGTTCTTCACAAGCTCTAGAAGGAAGCCAATCTTCGAGATGGATTGCTACAATTGTGGAGAACTTGGTCATCTAGCTCACCAATACACAAAGCCCAAGAAAGACAAGTTCAAGAACAAGAATAAGGGCAAGAAAGATGACTCAAGCAATGAATATGAAGATGAGAAGAAAAAGAACAAGCCATACAAGAAGAGATATGGCAAAAAGGACTTCCATAAGAAGAAGAAGAGTGGAAAGGCTTACATCGTCGGTGATTGGCTCACGGACATTGATTCATCTAATGGATCATCCGACGATGATAGTGACGACGAGAAGGTGTCCGCTATTGTTATTGATTCTTCATCATCTTCACCGCCACCACCGTTATCATCCTCTACACACCTATGCCTTGTGGCTAAAGGTGAACGAAAGGTGAACTACAAGACCGGTGGAAGTCATTGGATTATTGATAGTGGTTGCACAACATATGACCGGTGATCCTCGTATGTTCACCTCACTAGATGAAGAAGTAGATGGACAAGAAAGAATCACATTTGGAGATAACTCAAAGGGCAAGGTTAAAGGATTGGGCAAAGCGACAATATCAAATGATCATTCTATCTCAAATGTGCTATATGTTGCTTCATTGAGCTTCAACTTGCTATCTGTTGGACAATTGTGTGATCTTGGCTTCCAATGCTTGTTTACCGAGAAGAAAGTTGTTGTATCTAAGAAGGATGATGAACAAGTGATATTCAAAGGATTTAGATACAATAACCTATATCTAGTGGACTTCATCTTCGAAGATGCAAACTTGAAGACTTGCCTATTCACCAAAACAACACTTGGGTGGCTATGGCATAGAAGACTTGCTCATGTTGGGATGAGCTCACTCAAGAAGCTAATGAAAAATGATTTGGTGAGAGGGTTGAAGGATGTGAAGTTTGAGAAGGACAAGCTTTGTAGTGCATGTGAAGCCGGCAAGCAAGTTGCAAATACTCATCTAACCAAAGCTTTCATATCAACCACAAGAGTGCTATAACTCCTTCACATGGATTTATTTGGACCAACAACATACAAGAGTTTGGGAGGAAACCTTTATTGTCTTGTGATTGTTGATGATTATTTAAGGTATACATAGATATTCTTTCTTCATGATAAATTTGAAGTTGCATCTTGTTTGAAGAAGTTTGCCAAGAGAGCACAAAATGAATTTAAAGTGAAGCTCAAAAAGATTAGAAATGACAATGAGAAAGAATTTGACAACATAAACATAGAAGCCTATTGTGATGAAGTTAGAATCAAACATGAGGTCTCCGCAACATATACTCCTCAACAAAATAGTGTAGTTGAGAGGAAGAACCGGACATCGATCACTCTTGCAAGAACAATGCTTAATGAGTACAACACCCCCGAAGCTCTATGGGCGGAAGCTATCAACACCGCATGCTATGCATCAAACCGCCTATTCCTTCAAAAGTTTCTTGGCAAGACACCTTATGAGTTGCTCAATGGGAAAAAGCCAGACGTCTCCTTCTTTAGGGTGTTTGGTTGTAAATGCTACATCTATAGGAAGCGGCAACACCTAGGGAAGTTCTAAAGACGTAGTGATATTTGTTTTATTGTTGGTTACTCATCAAAGTCCAAAGTATATAGAGTATTTAATCATGCCACCGGCTTGGTTGAAAAAATATATGATGTGGAATTTGATGAATCTAACGGCTCCCAAGGAGCACATGAGAATCTTGATGATGTAGGTGATCAACCATTGAGGGAGGCTATGAAGAACATTTCGGTTGGAGACATCAAGCCTAAAGATGATGAAGATGATGTACAAGTCATTGATCCACCTTCTTCATCAAATGTGCCACAAGATGGTGATAAAGATGGGAGAGTAGAAAATGAAGACACTCATGTCTCCCATGAGCAAATGGTGGTACAAGCACAAGATGTTGATGCTTCACAACCTCCTCCTCAAGTGGTCAATAGAAGAAATACACCTCTACTACAAGATCATCCACAAGATCTTATCATAGGGAGTCCATCAAAGGGTGTAATGACTCGCTCACAAAAACTTGCTTCATTTATTGCTCATCACTCTTTTGTCTCTTATTTTGAGCCTACTAAGGTAGAAGAAGCTCTTCAAGATCCGGATTGGATAAATGCCATGCATGAAGAGTTGAACAACTTCACCCACAATGAAGTGTGGACTCTTGAAGAGCGACCTAAAGGTGCAAGAGTCATTAGAATAAAGTGGGTGTTCCGAAACAAGCAAGATGATCAAGGTGTTGTTGTGAGGAATAAGGCAAGACTAG